GTCTACATAGGTAGGGCTTCTCCACCAACTGGGACCCTTGAGGAAAATATTTTAGAGTAGAGCTGCACTGACTTTTAATGGATCTGCAGCATGAATGACATATAAAACTGTAAGCCCTTGAAATTTTGGGGTCATTGTTACCACAGCATAACTTAGCCTTTCCTGACATGCATCCCTCTTCCTAGGTGAACCAAGAATCTTTATTAAAAAAACAACTCGAGTGACCAAAACTTAATGGCGACATTAGCACAATTACCATTATACCTGGAGGACAGGAAGAATATAGAAAGCTGAACTATGGGAAAATAACTAGCAGGTATCAAGGCAATGCCTGATTCAACTTTTATCATTTCAGAACCTTTGAATTAAGCCAAATTCTTACTATATTACAATACAATGAAACCATTAAGGTTAACTTGAGGGTGTATATAAGATTCAAAGTCCAAGCTGACAACCATATTCCAGGAAGTTACCATTTTTTTTTGACAAATAAAGCAATGTAATATAATACAGGATGTAAATGATGAAAATTAAACAAGTCATGGTAATTTTAGGAGGAACAAAAAGTCAACAATAACTGAAATATTTCAAACAAAATCTTTAAGATTTTAGACCGGACAGTGTGGCTCAAAGGTTGAGTGTCAACCCATGAACCAGAGGTCATCAGTTTGATTCCAGGTCAGGGCACATATCTAGGTTGCAGGCTTGACCAATCCCCAGTAGGGGGCAGTGTAGGAGGTAGCTAATCGATGTTTCTCTCTCATCGATGTTTCGCTCTATTCCTCTCCCTTCCTCTCTCTCCAAAATCAATAAAAACATTAAACAAATATTTTAACTAATAACTAGGTTGAAGAACTAGAGGACACTTAGAAGTCCAGTTGGGCAAGTTAAGTGTACGCTGATACCGGAACTGACACAAAAACAATCTGAAACTAAAAGACATGGGAAAAATTCAAAGATCCTTCTTGTTTAAAGCACTTTGGCTATAAAAAAAACAAAGCCAGTGCCCTGATGGGGAATGGAACCCAAAACCATTTGGCGTGTGGGATGACACTCCAACCAACTTAGTCACCCAGCCATGGTGAGTACAAAGGTATATTTTGTTTTCCTTTTTCATAGTCAGAGGTATTAGAACAATCGGGATATGAATGGTAAGGGCCCAGATTAAAAAAATTTTTGAACATTGCTGCTGTGGCTAAGTCCGCTCTGGTGAAAGACTGTGATGTACTGTTTGCTGGTATAAGAACTTTGGATATCATCAAAATGACTTTGCCTTCTTTGCTAAGAGTGATCGCTTTAGAGGTCCCGATGCTTCCTGGTCCTTCCTTGTATCCGCAACCGGTGCCATGAAACCTTCCAGGGCCCTTCCACCCAGTGCCCTTCCATTGTCTCACCTCTTGACTCAGATCCATCATTTAACTTGCTTTGGTCAACGGGATGTTAGCAAATGTGACTGACACACGAGGCTTGTAGAAGCACTTGTGCATTTCTGTCCACACTCTTGCCCTTTTCTGTCACCATGAGAACAAGCCTGGGCTAGTCTGATGGAGGACGAGACTTACGGAGCAGAGCTGAATGACTCCCGCCGTCCCAGCCAGGGCCATTCTACATCAGCCCAAATTGGCCAGCCAACCACAAGACATGTTGATGGGCTCAGCTAAAACCAGAAGAAATGCCCAGCTGACCTGCAAATAAATGCTTCTTGTTTTAAGCCACTGAATATTGGAGTGGAACCTGCAGCGTTCTTGTGTCCATAAATAATTGAAACAACCTGTAATTATCCCTTAGAAAAAAAACATTCAACTGGGCAAAAGTCACAGAGGATCCTGAGTGATTTCTTATTGTTCTACTAACACTATATATTTTGCATTGACTTCAAGAGAATCCTATAGCCAGCCACTCAGTGCTACTTGAATGAGACTTGATTTAAAATGGAACATGTTATTTTGTGTGGGTTGATTTCAAAAACTCTGGCAATACTTCCACTTAGTATATGTAGCATTACTAGGCACACAATAGTTCAGTCCATAAAGAGGGATAAGGCAGAAACTGCAAGTAATTGAGTTAAATTCATATGTTAATAAACACAAATGCCAATATAGCTTTTGTCAAGAGCAAATGTTGACAAGGGAGGAGTGGAGGTGAGTGGAATCAGCAAAATGGGAAAAATGAGGCTGGGAAAAGGAAAACTGGATTCACTTTGTTCCATTTAAAGACAATGAGGTGTAGAAATGAATGTTGGGAACAAAGACCAAGCTTTCAAATCTTAACCTCATTTATACTCTGCAAGTCCAACTTATTAATAAAAGGTTGAGTGAAAAGAGGCAAAGAGGTAGTTTTGTTTGGCGGCATGGTTCTTTAATTCTTTCTTTGTGCTTTGAAATCAAATGAGTGTTCTTTTCTACTTTCTGACTCTTTATATAGCTTTGCTATTTCATTCACTTTCTTTTGTGGTAGAAAGAAGTTGGCTGTATAGTAAATATATAAGAAGTAGCAGGCTGAGAATCAGTGCCCCCTACACTGAACACATCTTAGCAGTTATTCATCTGTAGCTGTGCTCGGAGGAGTGCTGGTTGGGGGACCTGTACTTGGTTAATTCATCATATTGCAGTGGGGCCTTGACTTACGAGTTTAATTTGTTGAGACTGAGCTCGTTAAGGAGCTTGTTAACTCAAATTACTCTGTCAACTCATGCAAAAAAATCAGCCAAGAGATGGCTGGTATCTCAAAAAACTCATTAGTCGGACACTCGTAAGTCAAGGCCCCACTGTACTTGGAAAGGTCCTTATTATTTTATACAGCAGTGTGGTTACCTAGCAGTAGGTCATTAGCATTTTAGTCTTCTTTTCCTCACAACAACAACAACAAAAAAATAAAAACAAAAAAAGTTTCTTCTCAGTTACAAACATTATTTAATAGCTCTGATTATTAATCTATAAATTCACCAGGAGAAAATTCTAATGGGCAGCCTCTTTTAAGTAAACACAATCCAAAAGTTTTAACCACAACATTCAACACTAATTACCCCATTTTCCTTAGGGAAGAAATGTATGAAGATTTTGCCAGGTTGGCTATGCTATACTACTGTGTGGAATGGCAAGTTAATTCACTAAGCAAAGGCACCTATTGGCCCAGCAGGCTTTGCTCAGGTCATTCATTCACTCAGAATTAATTGACATAGTCTCAGCTCTGAGAAGTTCATTGCAAATTAACCAGAATCCAAACACGGATATATTCCCCCTTTCCTGGTCTTCAGCAGGGCCTGAAATCCTATATAATAAAACCCTAATATGCAAATTGTCTGACACACGAGGCTTGTAGAAGCATTTGTGCATTTCTGTCCACACTCTTGCCCTTTTCTGTCACCATGAGAACAAGCCTGGGCTAGTCTGATGGAGGACGAGACTTATGGAGCAGAGCTGAATGACTCCCAAGCTGAATTAGCTTGGAAAAAAAGATAATATAGCAAAATCCATGTAATTAATCCTCCAGAATAAATGTTAACATGTTATTTACAAATGAAGAAGCCCTCTTTTTGCCTCATTAGTGGCACTATGATGCCCCCCTGGGAGGGAGGCAAGCAGCAGCGGCGATTGGTGGGGTGGAGCCACCAAACACTAGGTGCCAGCTGGGGTCCCCCCTGATCGCCCCGCCTGCCAGTCGCCCCACAGATTGGCCCTGATCGCCGGTCAGGCTTAGGGACCCTACCCTATATATTGGGAACAGTCTCAGATTTAAAAATTAAAACTTGGCAAGGCTACTCTAACACTGAAAAAACAGGATGATGCAGCGATGACATGTATGGACTCTGGCTTGCACATTTTGTGGTCAGCCCTGATTCTGACACTTCTGTGTGAAAAGCCAATTACTTAACTTCTCTCTGCTTCAGTTTTTCCACCCATAAGATGGGGAAAATGGTACTACTGCCTCAGAAGGATCATGTTATGTACTTTTTCTAATCAGGGCAAAAAACTGTAGCACACCATACAACAGCAAGATGCCTTTCACCTGTATGAAAAGTATGGTCATTGGTGCATGCAGTTTCCTGGATTGCGAGAGGGATGTCCGACTGCTGGTTTAGGCAGTTGGACATCCTCTGAGGGTGCAGGCAGGGCTGAGGGGACCCCCTCTTCCCCTCTGTGCACAAATTTCATGCACCAGGCCTCTAGTTCATTTATGAGAACTGACAGCTTCTTTTATCGCCTTCCAAGCCAGACATAAAATTTTAGAGATCACTGCCAATATTTTTATTTCACTCAATATTCCCTTCCCTCAATACCAGCTTCACTTACTGTTGTCTCATACAGCTAACCTGGAAGGTTGGGGGTTGGTTGGAGTCTGGCTCACTCTTTATATGAAAACAGGCAGTGTGGTATAGCAGTTACAAATCCCAGCAGCCAGCAGTGACCATTAGTTTTATTTTCTGCATCTCAGTTTCCTGAAAAAATACACTGCTGGATTTTTTATGAGAATTATCAACATGTGAAAGAGCCTGAAAAGAGGCTGTTACTTTAGAAATCTATCTGTGTTAAACTCTAGAGGCAAAACTAAAGTCCAAGTAGATTGTCTGCATTTAGCGCAGTTTGACCCTTAATAAACATTTCCTGACAAAACTTTTTAAAAGATCATTTCTGATGAATTTGAGCATGTGGAAGGACCTTAAAATGCATTTTGGATTTTGTTTATAAGCAAGAGATTATGAACAAGGTGACGATGTCAATACATTTGGGGGGAAAAGCAAAAGTGTAGTATACTCCATTAGATCTGAGAAGAGCCCTCCACATCACTGCTGGCTCTATACATTGCTGCTACATAGAGTTAATAGGTCATATTTATCTTATTTAATGACTAAAACACTAATTTTCTGTACTAAGTTTGGTCAAATGCTTTTCAATAGTGTAGGAAATACTTAAAGCTGGTCACCAGCTTCCACAGAGATTCTTGAAAACATTTTGTCCTAAGGGGTTTCTGTTGAGATAATCCCACCTCTAGATTTCTACCTGGTAAACATGCCTCCCACTGGGCGACGAGATTAAAGTGATGGACTGTCGATCAACTAGGTCCAAGGCCTGGAGGGCTGATGAGCCAAAGACAAACTTCAGCCTGAGAAATAGAAAGGTTTCAGGTTAGACTGTGACTCTAAAACTCACCTCAGTAATTTGACCCAAAGCATCACTCAAAGCATTCAAAAAATTTTAATTCATTTTAGCTTGGAAAAGAAGATAATATAGCAAAATCCATGTAATCAATCCCCCAGAATAAATGTTAACATGTTATTTACAAATGAAGAAGCCCTTTTTTTGCCTCATAGTGCTTCCTATTCTTCCCAACTTCCCTTCATTCCTGAGACAACCATAAGCTTTTGTTGGTTTCTTTCCTATTAACGTTTTTATATTTTATTATATACAGTATGTATGTATTTTTATACACACATATACACAAACAAACATGGTATATGTGGTACCGTTTTAAAAGTTAAAACAAGCCCAAACCGGTTTGGCTCGGTGGATAGAGCATTGGCCTGCAGACTCAAGGATCCCGGGTTCGATTCCGGTCGAGGGCATGTGCCTTGGTTGTGGGCACATCCCCAGTGGGAGATGTGCAGGAGGCAGCTGATTGATGTTTCTCTCTCATCGATGTTTCTCTCTCCCTTCCTCTCTGTAGAAAATCAATAAAATATATTTTTTAAAAAAAAGTTAAAACAAAAGATATGTTGTAGGCTTGTTGGTAACTTTTTTCCTACTCCAACATGCTTTTGAAAATGATGCACGCTGCCCTGGCCAGTGTTGCTCAGTGGTTAGAAGGTTGGTCAATGGCATGTACCTGGGTTTCAGGTTGAATCCCTGGCTCTGGGTTGCAGCACGTGCCAGAGGCAACCAATCGATGTGTATCTCTTTCACATCCATGTTTTTTTTCTTTGTCCCCCTCCCTTCTTGCTTACACTCTATCTCAAAATCAGTGGAAAAAATATCTTCAGGTGAGGATTACCAAAAAAAAAGAAGAAAAATTTTAAATTTTAATTACTTTTTGAAGAATATTCTATTATACGTATATATAAAAGTAACATGTAAATACTTGTTTTATAAGCATCCTATCAATGGGCACTCTGATAACTTCCACTTTACACTATTATAGATAATATTCAATTTTCCCTGTGCCTGTTCCTTAGTGCACATAAACGAGGATTTATCCTGAGTATATAAGTAAAAGCAAATTGCTGGGTTTTAGGATATATGCATTTTTCAATTTTAATAGGTGTTGCCAATAGCTTTCCACAGTGGAAATAGCACCCCCATCAGTGCTTGTATAAGAATTCTATTTTCTCTACATCCTCACCAACCCGATATTATAATTTTTCATGTTTGACCATCAGATAGGTGTTAAATTTGTACTTTTTAATTAATAATAAAAGCCATTCAGCTGTTCATGACATATCAGAAAAAATTATGTGGGAAAATTATATTAGGTGAGAAAAGTTAGACACAAAATTACATATTTAGAAACTCTCAATCGTGTTAATTTTTCTTTAAAGAACTACAATTATCTCAAAATAAACCTTTTTTTTTTAAAAACAAGAGGCAAAAAAACAAAATGTTATTGTG